AGCACAAGCAGATTGAAAACATGACATCCACCAAACCGGTTTCCGTATGTATTCTCCTAATCCTGACCATGTTTCCTGAGCTCCCATCTGGGAAGTTTGGTGTTTCCTCAAATTCCTTCTGATTGATCTTCCTTCCTAAGTTTACACTGGTCACCTGCACACCCACAGCCTTCACATTTCAACCTCTGGCCCTCATGCTCCTCAGCACACACGTCATCATGACAGCGCCCAGCACTCAGAGGCTTTCAGCCTCACCCTCACCTTCACCTTCCCTCTGGCTGCCTGTGCTTTCACCCTCAGGGGTGAGCCTCACTCAGCCTCACTGTTCAAGTCAGACGCCTGGCCTTTGCTCTTCATTCCTCTCCCAGGACATGAAGAGGGCCCTGCCCAGACCCCACAGCAGGCCACCTGCCAGGGTATGATGTGCTGGTGGTTTCCACTATTCACTCCTTGGGAGCTCAGGCAGATGCCACTTGGCTGGAGGCTCTGCTCCTCGGGCAGCTGAATGAATGAGGAGTGAGGAGCAAAAGAGAAAGGGGGCCCTTCAGGTCCCCGGGCATGTAGGAGTCTTCCCACCATGCTGAGGCACGTGCGGCTTCATACAGCCCCACTTCTCCTTACCCTGTCCCGTGGCCTCCTCCCACCTTCCTTGGAGGTTGGTCCCTAAAAATCACCCTGAACTCTATCCCAGCTCTATCTCCAGACAAGCCAGCCTGCCCACAGTCCCTCCTCCATCCCTGTCATTCAGATCACTTTGCCTTCTCGCTGCATCTTGATCCCATCCCCTCGCTCTCGTCCCTCCACCTGTGCCTTCTTTCTAGAGCTCGTCATTTTCCACTGTACTGTTCTGTACTGCCCTCTCAGCTCCCCACAGCTGCCCCGGTCACCGTCAAGGCATCTAACATAAAATGCAAACTGCACTGGGCCACCCTCTCCAGCCCCTGTGGGCCTCTGCAGGCATCTCAAGGGCGTTAGTTACATGTTAATCTTGGGCCCTCCTGGCTGGGTCTTCTAGTGGCTGGCTTCCTAATATCTCCTCAAAGCAACAATCCACACGGGGTTCCTGGAAACAATGAGCTGGCCCAGCCTTGAGCTGTTCCCCACACAGCTTCTCCTCCTGGGTCGCCCCTCCTCTGTGGGGAGACCCTAGCAATTCCTCAGAACTCCACTGCAGCCACCCCGACGTCCCTAGGCCCAGCTCAGCACACTCCGCTCTGGGCAGTGCTTGTGTCTCACACACTAAGACGTCCCCACAGCATTGTACTGTGTCATGATGCTGATTTTAGACTTTCCACCTGTCTTGCTAGAATGAAATCCTCTGGGGGTAAAGCATCTTCCCCAGGGCCTGGCTCATGATCCATCAGGCGAGCATTGGTGGCCTCCGGAAGGGGGAAAAAGCCAGGCTCGGGGTTCCCCCCGGCCTCCAGAGGAAAGCAGCCCTACCTGCCCTTGACCTATCTGGGGGACCCATGCGGGACCTCTGACCTAAAGCACTGAGAGATAACACAGTTGTGTCATTTTAAACACTAACTATGTGGTTAAGGTAGAAATAAAAAACCAATATACTTTTTAAATGTCTTTAAAAAATTTTATTGTTTATTTCAGAGAGGAAAAGGGAGAGAAACATTAATGATGAGAATTATTTTTTAAAATATATATATATTTTATTAATTTTTTACAGAGAGGAAGAGAGAGGGATAGAGAGTTAGAAACATTGATGAGAGAGAATCATCGATTAGCTGCCTCTTGCACACCCTCTACTGGGGATATGCCCGCAACCAAGATACATGCCCTTGACCGGAATCGAACCCGGGACCCTTCAGTCCGCAGGCCGATGCGCTATCCACTGAGCCAAACCAGTCTCGCCAATGACGAGAATTATTGATTCTCAGGGCTGCCTCCTGCCTGCCCCACACTGGGGATAAAGTCCACAACCGGGCATGTGCCCTGACTGGGAATCAAACCGTGACCTCCTAGCTCATAGGTCAACACTCAACCACTGAGCCATGCCGGGCAGGCATTAATATGCTTTTAAATTAATATATTTAAAAAGAGAAACTGCAACGGTCTGGAAAGGCTGTGTAACTGACCCAGGCGGCCTGGCTTTCTTAAGCCTCAAGGCTGACAATAATGGTTTCCTTTTTCTGTTTTCTTTGTGTCGCCTGGGCGTGTTCACCTATCCTCCATCTGCACTCTCAGGCTGACAGGAGCAGACAGCCAGGCTTGGGGATGGTGTCTAAACAAGCAGGCACAGCCCAGGGAGGCCCGGCTGTCCCGGGAGGGAGGGGCCGGCTCCTGGCTGGGCTGGGGGGGGGGGGGGGGACGACGATTTTGGTGCAGAGCTGCCTTTGGGGGTTCTTCCCGAGAAGTGGGGTTTCACTGTGCTATGTGCTCTTGGACTATTAATCACCCTCTTGGATGACATACCTTTTTCCATTTATTTTTTCCCATTTTTTTCATTAAGGTATTATTTGTGTACATATCTTACCTGGGGGGGGGGCTCTTTTTACATTTAGTACATTTACATTGCTATTTATATTTAAAAATGGCCAATTCCTTCCATCTGCCTCACCACAATAAAAGGAAGGGCTCCGGTTGGCTGAAGGGTTAATGTCTAGCTTTGGGTTTCTTTCTTCTCGGAGTCTGACGTGCAGGCGCGCTCTGTATTCCTTTCACAAAAAGGATCCAAGCGAGGCGCCGAGGCTCTGAATGTGCCCGCTCTGTGCATTCATAATAAACGCCGAACTGGATGGCACATTCACGGCTGCTCGCGACGGTAATGAATGGCTGAATGCAAGTCTGGGGGCACCGCTCACCTCCAGGAGGGCAGTCCTGGTCGCAGCTACCGCCCCCCGGGGATTTTATTTTCCTTGAAAGACCAGTTTTTCCTCTCCGTGTGACAGAGGCGGTGGGCACTTCCTCCCTGCACCTTTGTGACCAGGCTGGCTGTCTTTTTCTCTTTCCCTCCCCACTCTGCGTTTGGATGAAAGATCCCGCCTTTGATTGAAATGGAACCTTCCACCATTGAGCAGCCTTTGCTGAATGAGTCACCGCGGCGGCCGCTCATTGGCGGAGGCCCCGGAGCCAGGGATTGCCTGGCTGGGCTGCAAGGCCGGCTCCATTCACAGAAACGCTGGCTCCTTCGCTGGCCCTTCATTCACACAAACAGCATTTCATTCACAGTTTGCTGTTTTTGTCTAAAGATCAGGGTTTGGGGATGACAGCATTTCCGCTGTACATTTTCGGGGGGCTGTGATAGCCTCCCAGCCACCTGTGGGGGTGCACTGGCTGTTGCTATGCAGCCAGGGGAAGGGGAAGATGAGAGCCGTCCTCTGGGCCTGCGCCGGGCGGCCTGCTCCCTGCGCTCCCGGCCCGCAGTGCCCACCCGGGGCACCGGTGACAGCTGCCCACGGAGCTCTGCAGCCTCGGGCGTCCTGTGTCACGTGTCTAGTCGTGGGATGAGAGGACTCAGAGTGACCTGGTAGTGTGAGAGGTGAATTCATGTGCCTGCACCGAGGCCCTGGGAGCCTGGCCAGGGAGCGGGCAGCACTGTGCCGGGCGGGCTGTGGATGCCCGGGGAGGAGGGCGGGGCCCGTGGGGACAGCGTGGAGGGTGCGAGCCCGCAGCTCCTCCGGGGCTCCCCACTCCCTGCTCCCTGAGAGGAAGGAGGCCTGTGGAGGGTGGTCCTGAGAAGAGGCCTTTTCCGGTGATCTGTGGGAGCAGCTGCATGCCCCCCGCCCCCCCACTGTAGGCTGCAGCCCGGCTGAGGACACTGAGCACACTCAGCTGGAACACAGCCCCAGCACGGCCCTCAGGAGGGGCTCAGGAGCCTGCTGCCCTCACAGGGAGCCGCGTCTTGTCTTGGGCGGCAGGTTTGGGACTCAGGCGGCCGCAGACGCGCACACCGCAGGGGCGGGTCCGCACCGCCCTGCGCACAGGTTCACACGCAGACAGACCTCCTTTCCTGCTTCTTTCGGAGGCCGCCTCGCCACAAAGACACTTGTCACGGCTGCATTGTGGATTTGAAAAGGAAAACCCTGAAAACCGGTGTTTTATGTTCACTTGGGAGTGAGTATTTCTCTCTTTTGCTTTTTATTTTGCTATGTAACAGTTCCTGCTTGCTTTCCAAATCGGAATTCATGAGGTTCCGCTGGACAGCTGCTTCTTCAAAAGCTTCGTCACATTTTAACGCAGAATCCGCAGGCTCGCCCAGGGGGCTGGAGGAGAGCCTGGCACAGGGCCTGGGCCTCAGAAAGTTCCTCTGCCCGTCAGAGGAGCCTGGTTCTTCTGGGCTCCCCTCTGGGGGATGGGGAGGTGAACAGCCAGGCTGGGGAGAAGGACCTGGGGAGGCGGGAGAGGGAGAGGCTGGGAGAAGGATCTGGGCAGAAGGATCTGGGGAGGCGGGAGAGGGAGAGGCTGGGTGAAGGACCTGGGGAGGCAGGAGAGGGAGAGGTTGGGTGAAGGATCTGGGGAGGCAGGAGAGGGAGAGGTTTGGGAGAAGGACCTGGGGCGGCAGGAGAGGGAGAGGCTGGGAGAAGGATCTGGGGTGAAGGACCTGGGGAGGCGGGAGAGGGAGAGGCTGGGAGAAGGATCTGGGGCGGCAGGAGAGGGAGATGTGGGAACTGATTGGCTCTGGCGCTGGTGGGTGTATGTGGCTCCTTGTTCTCTCTCTTTCCCGCAGGAAGTGATCGCAGCGCGCCTTGTGGAGAAGGGGCTCCGCTCGGGGAGTCACGCTTCCACGGGGAGCAGCCCGGGAGTCGCCGGGCGCCCCGGGAGGAAACTATGACTTTGGCGAAGCGCGAGAGCCGCCCAGGGCAGCCGGGCTCGGGGTGCGGGCTGCGCGGCCGCGGCGGCGCCGGGCGTTAGCGGGGGAGCCCGGCGCCCCGCCGCCCGCCCCCCGGACCCGCCGCCCCGCGGGCCCGAGCCGTCTGGGCGCCGAGTCAGCCCGGGCCGCGGCGCCCGCCCCCGCAGCGCCGGGGATGCGGGAGCCCGCGGGGGGCATGCTTCCCCGCGCCAAGTACAGCCGCTTCAGGAACGACTCGGTGGCCTCGGCCGATGACCTTCTGCACAGCCTGGCGGCCAGCGGCAGCGGCAAGGTCCCGGCGGTGGCCCCCTGCCCGGCGCCCGGAGGCGATGGCGCGGGCAGCCTGGGCCACCTGCTCCACAGGGTGTCCCACCTGAGACTGGCCGGCTCGGGCCTGCGCGGCCGGGGGGCGGCCGCGGGCCGGGGCGCGCGGCTCTCGGGCAGCAGCAGCGCGCCCAGCCTGGCCGCCCTGGACCCCGCGCCCCCCGCGCCCCGCGGCCCGGCCCCGCGCCCCGCCGGGAGGGGCCGGCCCGGGCACCAGCCGCCCCGCGCGCCCCCCGCCCGCGACCAGGTGCTGGGCGCCGGAGTCACCTACGCCGCCAAGGTGGGTGCGGGCCGCCGGGGAGGCGGGTGCGGGCCGGGGGTGGGGGGGAGGCGGGCGCGGGCGGTCCGCCCCGGGGGAGGGGGGTCGCCTGCGGGCCGGGGGTGCGCCTCCTTCGCGGCCGGCTCTCCTGGCTGTGCAGGTGCCGGGAGGAGGTTTAAAATCGGTGACTTCACTCTGCCCCGGTTTCCCTTGGCCGCACCTCCCTGGCACAGCCTCACAGCCTCGCTGTGCCAGGTGTCGGGCCAGGGCCCCTCTGGCGGGGTCTGTGCCTGGAACTGGGCGCCAGGCCCACCCAGGACGCGGTAAGCACCCCGGGGAGAGCTGGGTGGCCCGGCCTCTGTGTGCCTGCCCGGGCAGCAGGGGCTGGTTCGCTCCTGGCCAGCATTCCCAGCCCCTCGTGGAGCAGGCGAGTGCTGTCTTGCTTTACATAAGACAGGCTGCACTTTCTCACCCAGGGAGGCTTTCTTTGGTGTCTGCCTCGCATTATACCAAAAGGTTTTGGTTTACAGCAGCAGAAGGGAAATTTGGGGCTGTCACCCCCCACCCCTACCCACCCCATCCCCACCACCACCACCCACCAGCCTTCCAGCTAAACAAATGAGAGGGCTGAGCTGCAGCATCTGGGAAGATTTCACTCCAACACAAAGAATTATAAAACGGCATCCTATGTGGCTATAAAAACCCACCCTCAGGCAAGTATCTTGTGGTGTTAAAGTAACAAGTACTGCACAGACCCCCTGGCCTGCCCACTCTTGCAAAGGGCTGGCCACATCCAGGCAGATTTCCAGGCCCCGGAGTGGGCAGGGGTGCATTATTTCAGCCTGGTCACTCCAGGCACGACTTTTTATTTAAAAAGAAGGGAGACACAGATCTTCCCAGGTGCTGCCCCCTGAGAACCCGCAGGCTGCCTCCTCTGCGGGTGCTGGCAACAGAGCTGGCTTAAAAATTCAACAAATCATAACTGCAAGTGAAATGTCTCTTGGTAGTTTTGGAACCAAAATATTAAAAGAAACGGTTACTTTGTGGATTATCTTTAATTATCTAAAAAGCACCAAAAAGGAATGTGATCATCAACGTTAAAAATGGGCCTCAAAAGCTGCTTTTTATTTATCTTCATCTGACTAGTAGCTCTGCAAACTGGTTAATAATATGCTTTACAAAAGGCACGCAGATCAGCATAAAATATGCACATCTGGCTGAATTTGTTATAGGAGAAAAGGTTTTTTCTTTGTAGTTCTTCTTTAACATGTATAACCAAGCCAAGCAGAAAACAAAACCAACAAAGTACCCAGGCAGCTTTGAGTTGAAGCAGTGATACTGGAAGATTTACTTCCTGTATATTAGTATAATTGCTGTCTCAAAAAACAAAACAAAAAAAAAAAAACTACAGCTAAAATAGATCAACCAGGCGAAGCTTTATGTATCTATCATGTTGAATGGAAAGGGCAGTTTTCAAGTGGAGGGAAAATTCTCAAACTTTTGCCTTTAAAAAAAAAATCATTCATCTTGGCTGAGGGCTTTGCTCTCGCTGTATGAAGAGTGAAGGTGAACAGACGAAGGCCGACTTCCAGCTGTAAATGTCAGTTATGACTGAGTAGTGATGTCCCACATGTAAGAGCAGTGCCCTGCCGGTCCATGCTGTGGCTGTAGGTGAGACACCCCTGCAGCCGGTACTGAAATAGGTGGGGAGCTGGGTCTGCCTTGTCCTGCCTCAGCCAAAGGGCTGCAGTGACCTGGCTGCCCGCGTGGCTGGACGATGCGCGTGTCCTCGCCTGGTCCTTCCTCAGTGGTGATCAGTGGCGTCAGGGGGAGATAGGCTCAGGTTGCCCTGGAGAGCTCTGAGATCTCACAGCAAAGGCCAAACACGCACTGCCTGGTTCATATGGCCCTGTAGCCCCTGTCGGCACACATTTCCACATCGCCCATGTTGGTCTATTAGTACAACCAGGGACATCCTGAAAAATCACAAAACGGAAAAGAAAGCACCTTCATTTAGTCCTCTTGTGGTTTGTGGATAGTCGGCATCTTTGCTTGTAAAGATCTCGGGTAGATGAAAAAGTGCCATCTTTCAACATCACTGCACATCAGTTGTATAACCCAAAGGCTTAGGGTTTGGGAAAGAACTTATCATTATTATTCTTTTTTAAAAATATATTTTTTGTGATTTCAGAGAGGAAGGGAGAGGGAGAGAGATAGAAACATCAATGATGAGAGAGAATCATTGATTGGTGCCTTCTGCACTGCACGCCCCTTACTGGGGATCAAGCCTACAGCCCAGGCATGTACCCTTGACCAGAATGGAACCCGGGACCCTTCAGTCGGAAGGACGACAGCTCTATCCACTGAGCCAAACCTGCCAGGGCTATTATTCTTGATTTAAATTTATTTCTAAATTGAACAAAACCCCCAAATGATTTTCAGTTTCCTGGAAAATTCATGTGCTGTCTAAGCATAGTTCTCACTCATAGAAATACCTGCTTACAATTTTAGGATATTAAACATAGATTTAGTATTCCAAAATATTTCAATTTAATTCAGTTACATGAAAGTAGGAACTGTAAAACATGAGGTCTGGAAGGCGTGGATCATCTATTTGAAGAGCAGGAGGTATTTCAGGTGGAGAAGCTAAGGTTTGGAGTGGACGAGGCTCCTGAGCAGCAGTAGGATTCATGCTTAGAGGGAGCTGCTGTCCTTCATGCCATCGCTTTGAGCCTGTGGCTGATTGTCACGCAAACGAGGAAGGTTGGACACACAACCTCCAGGTTTGTACCTTTGTACCCCCACCCCAGCCACCCACCGCACCTGACACTGGCTTTTTCTTTTGGTGGCTTGAAAGGAAAAGAACAAGAAAATGTTGACAGACAGGAAAGGAAAATCCAGCCACAAAGAAGAATGAATGTTTTCCTTACAATTCCATTTGGGAACTATTTTAAACTTGTACCAGGGAGCTGACAGAAATACAAAGTATTGGTTATGCTGCTGCTCACTTTCAAATTCTATTGCCCGAGAACCCAAGCTGGCTAGGACCCCAGGTGCCCATGGAGCTGCGGCTGGTCTTTAGCAAGTTTCAAGGCAATATTCAGGGACACCACACACACCACATGCAGCCACGCATGTATATCACAGGGCACAGAAGGCGAGAGCCATGAGCAGCTGGCGGTCAGGTCTTAAGGGCGGCCACTGCAGAGGTAAAAGCTGCCTGAAGGTGGCAGCCTTGACCCTGCCTGATGGAAGGCGACACTGTGGGCTGCACAGGATGAGCCCTCAGTGCCGGGGTCCCCAAAAGAAGGGCTTTTTATATCACAGCACAGCACACCACACCACACGCAAAACAGGGTAAGAAGTGACCAGACTTAGGACGATGGGAGTGCTCAGGGGGGAATCAAGGCCGTGTGAGAGGTGTGGCTGGTGCTCCCGGAGCCATCAGCGGAGGGAGAGCGGGTGTGCTCTGGTCCACAGCCTGCAGCCTGCCTCCCCGGACAGCCCGCCACAGCTGTTCCCAGGAATTTACCCGTCAAACCCCACGGCACTCGTTCCTGCCATGCCGATTGCTCTTCTCTTGCTCTTACAAGAACTCTTTAACAATTATTTTATTTTTTTCCATTTGTGAATCTGATGATATTAGGGTGGTATAAATTACTCATTTATAAATGTTCTATTCTCTCTGTAGATGGTCTTTATAAGCTGCACTTACTCTAAAACGTATTTGTTCTTAGTTTGCATTTGTATAGACACTTGCCTCCGTGTCTGGGAAAGTATCTTAAATCTCCTTTTCCATAACTGTGAGCAGAAGCCACACTGAACAGTCGTCAGCAAATTATTCCAAGACAGCCTGGATGTACTGTTATGGTGGGATATTAACAATTATCTTAATTATAGACTTAAAAAGCATTTCTGATGTAAAGTAGAATTTTAAGAGTTGACTTTTTTCTTAAAATTATTGAAATCTCTCATAATATGGATGGCTTACATGTAAATATTGTCCAAATGGTTTGAAAAACAGTTTAAAACATTCCTTTGAGATTAATAGACAGAATTATTAATTTGATCTGGAAATATCACACACACACCACACTATACAAACACAGCACACACATACCACACAATGCAAGCATACATACATCACGCGCCTACAACACACACATGCACCACACATGCCACACATGCCACACACTGTAACACACACACATCGCACCTTACACATAGCCCACATATCACACAAATATACACATACATATATCACATACCCTAACACACACATACACCATACACACCCCATATATGCCACAGACCATACACACACACACACACCATGCTCCTTACAACCCTACACTCCCCCACATACACTCCTTTCACCACACAAATGAACAACTTATCATGATTGCACTGTTACTATTTTCTTTCTTTTAAAAAAAATTTAAAATTGATTTCAGAGAGGAAGGGAGAGGGAGAGATAGAAACCTCAATGATGAAAATCATTGATTAGCTGTCTCCTTCATGGCCCATGCTAAGGATGGAGCCTTAACCTGGGCATGTGCCCTGACTGGGAATCGAACCATGATCTCCTGGTTCATGGGTCGACTCAACCACTGAGCCACACTGGCTGGGTACTTTTTTCTTTCTTGTTAGAAAATCGCAAATGCCATATTAGAATACCTGATTATATCATCCATTTCTTTTCTATTCAAGCTTAAGAGAAAATAATTCTGAAAGATAAGCTGCTGTTGAAACGCTAATCCTCTGAAAGTAACTCTCTGCTCCTGAGCGTAGGCTGTGCTTGGGATAAATATTATGTAAGCAACGCCTGGGAATGGGAAACCTGGTGGCAGGATCTGGCAGGAGAGGACTAGTGGCTGCCTTTCTTGTCTGCTCAAACCCCCCTGCACTGACCCTGCGGCCCCAGCAGTGCTGGGAGGAGGCGGGGCACACTCTGCATTGCTGGGGCACGGGGCACGGGGCACTGGGCACAGGGTGAGAGCTTCCCTTTTGGCATTTTCCCT